CATTCTTACCGAGAGAAAATGCTCCACTTTTTAATATCAAAGTGAGTGTCCAACTCTTGGATTGGAAATGGTTACAATGTACTCTGTGATGCTCACATGAGTGAAGGGGTGGGAACCGCATTATAAACAAGGGGAAGAAAAGCATTTAAAAGAATTGCAGCAATAGAAACAGGGCTCTGTTCTCAGGTAACAAAACTCAAGCAGAAATTAAAATTGAAGTAAAATAAAACTTTTAACTCACACACCTCAGAGAGCACCCGACAGAACACTCCAAATTTTCCTAGTAATGAAAGAAGTCAGAAGTCTCGGTCAGCTGAGTCTATAAACCAACCACAGACATTGTGTCTGGGCCTTGAAGAGAATAGATCGTGTACTTCAACATCGGGCACATCTTTAAAAGATGGTCTTCTCAAAATAGCAAACCACAGGCATTTTAGTGGTGCTACAGTGTAGTGACAATTCACCCGGCTTGGGAAGCAAGGGTGAGTAGGGTTATACCTTCCCTTCAGCGCAAAGCAAATGTGTTGTCAAACTACCTTGAATTTTTATTTTTCTCATTTATTTCTTTTGTCAATATTTTTAATGAGTCATTTCAGTTTTACAACATTGTGAAAGTATTTTTGGAAACTTATCAAACAACTGTTTTAGTGTCCTCAAAACACAACTGGAACTTCTAAACTTAACTAATACTTCAAATCTACAAAATTCAATGACTCTTTGAAAGGATGTGAAGTTGTATGATGGTCAGCTTTCAAATTCTTTTTTTTTAGTAATTTTTAGAATAATTTTTTTTAAATTAGAAACAAGCTTGCTTTACATATCAATCCCAGCTCCCTCTCCCTCCCCTCCTCCGTTGTCCCTCCACCAGCCCCCCCTAAACCCCCCACCCAATCCCCACACCATTCCCCAGGAAGGGTGAGACCCTTCATGGGGGATCTCCAGAGTCTGTCATTTATCCAGGGCAGGGCCTAGGCCCTCCCCCATGTACCCAGGCTGAGAGCATCCCTCCATGTGGAATGGGCTCCCAAAGTTCATTCGTACACCAAGGAAAATATTAATCTATTGATGCTGCAACGATAAATGGCACACTTACTGAAAGTAAAAATAAGTATTTATTGTAGAAATTACTCACAAGAGACAAACAAGTAACCCAGACAAGCCGAGTAGTTTTCCGCAGCCGAACTGGAAGCCGGAAAGCCGGAAAAGAGAGCTAGACTTCCACTGTTCAGTCTTTTATATGCCCCCTAGCCATGCCCAAAAGTGGGCTGGCTAGAGACGTAGTTCACCGCCTACGTCCAAAGTGGGTGTGGTTAGTGGTGAGGTAAACCATCCTTTTATTACCTCATCTGTATGCTCCTCTAGTAAGTCATGTGTTTAATAGCAGAGCACTGTTTCCTCCTACAGATCTACTACCTAAGGCCCCAGAGATTGCTGAGCCCTCCTCACCGACACCACATTCAGGGGGTTTGGATCGGTCCCATGCTGGCCTCTCAGCCATCAGTCTGGGGTCCAAGAGCTCCCCCTTGTCAGAGAAAGTGGGAAGCACCCTTGAACAAATTGGTACAGGAGCTTTCAAATTCTTAACTCTAAAAAAGTATCCTATGGCTCTCAGTACGGTTAAGTATACACAGAAGTGTACATATTTTGTACTTCTAATACATAAATATTCATGTTTTTAGCATGTGTATACATATATATGTCCAAGTTTCTTATCTGTAATTTTGATTTCCCTTCTAACAAATCTCATTGATAATTTCTAAGAACTAAAATTTGATACTGAGCAATAGCAGTAGTTTAATAAAGGTAAGTTACACAGAATAATTTCTTATTTTTGTTATTGACTGTAAATTTGAAGGCTGCATATCTATGAAGAAGACTTTTGATTCAGACACAGTGATCAGCAGTCTGTTATTTCATTTAAACTCACTTGTTCAGAAGAGCGAATGATGTTATCAACTATATCTAAGAACGGTGAAGGAAATTTTCTATATATGGGCAATAATTTGCACATTCACTAAGATTTTTTTTACAATTTTTAAAATCTTTATTTTATATACCCATAAACTTGTGCACAGTTTTCAAATCCAAATCTTACTGAACAAGGAAGCTAAAATCAATAAAACAAACATGAACTTAGAACATTTAGTCTCTAGGAAACATTTGTGAAACAGAAAAATAAAATACGATTTTAATATATTGACAGTACAATCTCAGAGCACTTAAAATGTTACTAGAGGTCTTTGTTCACTTTATTGTGTATGCAATTATTTTTAGCAAAGGCTCAACTGATGTTGCATCGTTGATAAAGATACCAATAATACTAGTGTCTCCATTTTCTCTTTGGGTCAAAGAAAAATTTTAAAGGACTTCTCTGTCACTTTTGGTAAAAAGTGATCCTATAGTTAGGGAGGGAGAGTATGATGCAACACTTCAAGGAAATGCAGATGGATTCTATACTTCATTAGGTGCAGTAAACACACACACACACACACACACACATCTTCCCAAGAATTTTTCTCTTGTCAAACTCTGTGGGCCAGTGTCTCAATCTGTGAACACCAGGATGCTCTGTGTATTAAACCTACCATATATTTAAAACCCATATTGTGCCTTATCTAGAAATACGATCAAAAAGTGCCACCAAGTTAAGAGTTCTATGGCATTACGTCTTTTTCGCGTTCAGAATGTGGCTATGACAAACACTGGCTAGTATTTTTTTGAGGCAAACCAAATAGCTGCACAGGGAAAGTTAATTGTCTTATTCTGGAAGAGGAAATAATTCTAAAACAAATAATGTACAGGAGACACAAGTAACAAATTACCACTTACGATCTACAAAGTAAGACTTGCCATTCAACTGGAAAGAAGCTGAGTCGCATTTGATAAATAAAGTACACAATTTCAGGGCAGCAAGTGGCTGCCGTATCAGTACATCATGGGAAATGATGCTTAAGCTACAACTACAAAAGCAAGCAGAAGCCGGTTTTATGTCTGAGAACATTGGCAATACGCAAGCCGGCAGCAGTTCCGTCACCCTCAGAAATCAGGAGTGAAATCACACAGACTCAGATTTTCCACCCACTGGCATTTGTCATAAGCATGAATGGACTCTCTGAGCACGGCCATCAGCTGCTAAAATGAGTCCTAGCATAAATCATAGAAAAGCATATTCTAATTTATTTGAAAACACTTTAATTGCAACATGAAGTTTGTAGTAACATTCCAAGAGATTTACTAAATGTGTCTTCCCAACCTGGGGGCGGGAAGAGCCTATTCTTCGGTGTTGTTAATAAGCCAGAGACTAGAAATTCAATTATTCTTTAGTGTGGGACAATACTTCTTTGCTAGTATCAGAAAACAGGGGCTTGTCCTGAGTAGTGTTATCTTTTAGGCATTCTTCTCCATATTAAATGCATCAGAAAAACTAGACCTAGGTACCATTAGTGGTTAAAGAAACTGAGGCAAGCAACCCAAGGTTACAGAGTTCTGTGATAAAATCAGGCTTAAAGGCCAGAGAGTGCAGTATGAGTGTCTGCTGCTAACAGCTGGGCAAAGTACACGTGATCTTTTTCAACTCTGTTGTTTCCTTAGGTTATTAATGTAATCATATCATTTCTCCCATCCTTCCCTCCCTCAAGCCCTCCTATGTACCTTTCTTTTTTTCTGTCTCAAATTCACGGCCTCATTTTTCAGTAATTGTTGCTACATACGTAAGCATGTATTTAAACATGTCTATTCCTAGATATATAAATATAGTCCTCCTAGTCTGTGTAATGTTGCTTGTTTGCATGCCTCAGGCCTGGCCATTTGGTATTGAATAGGCACAATCAACTTTTGAAAGCACAGCGTTCTCACTCACATGTGGGGGATGGCACTTTAGAATTAGACCCAATAGATGGGAAAATATAAACCAAGTTCTTGGTAAGAGCGCGACACAAAAACTTTGGATGCTTACATGCATTCTCATGATTTTTGATTGCCTTGTGATGAAGACGAGGTTTAGGGAATACTGACGTGCATCTTATTATGTGTTAACTACTAAAAAGCTGTGCTAAGCCCAAGCATGGGCGAGCACCGGAGAAATGAAGATGAACAGATGACATCTGCTTCAGGGCAAAAAGAAGGCAAAAAGTCAACTGAATTAGGAAAATTAAATTCTTCATTTGGTAGCTACAGGAAGATTACCAGACACGTGAAATGAAGGAACTTTTAGGCAGTTCTTTAAATGTAGCACATGACAGGGTCTCATCAGTCTAGAACTGAAACCTTGTTGCTAATGAAGAGCTACTGACTTTTTACTTCTCGATTAGATAATATTTCAAATTTGTAGTTTTATAAAATTTTAAACATCATTCTAATCCTATGCTTTGCCCAGGAATTAGTACCAAACTTAATGAAACTTTTTCAATGAAAAGGTGATGTTTAGTAGTAACACATAATCAGATGCATGTCAGTATTTCTAAATCTTGTCATCACCACGTTTCAATAATACAGTTACAATATCATAGTTATCTATACATATGCAAAAACTGTGATTGTATATAACACATGTATGGAAATACATGGGCTTCTTTAATAGCTATGAGCATGTTAAGTATATTAGTGACTGGAAAGCATCTAATAGACCAGATTAAGTTAGCAATACTACACTCAAATTTCTAGCAGTTCTAGATAACATAACCTCTTAATTCACCAAGAATTCTTCATGCAAAGGCTTTTTGAAAAATCTGAAAGTACATTTTATGATAGTAACGCTCATCCACTCAAAGTTACAATGCTTCCAGTTTCTCTTATCTGGGAAACAAGTGCTCATATAGATACTTTTAGCTAGAGATTTAAGAGTGTTTATATTATCCCTTTTAATGTGTGTGCTGAGTAGTACTCCATTGTGTAAATGTACTACATCTTCTCTATCCACTCATCAGTTGATGAGCATTTAGGTTGCTTCCAGGTCCGGGCTATTACAAATAATGCAAATGGGTGGCACTAGAAGAAACCATCCTGAGTGAGGTAACCCAGTCACAAAAAGACAAGCATGGTATGTACTCACTCATATATGGATTTTAGGCATGAAACAGGGGAGTGCTATCCTACAATCCCACAGCCAGAGAGTCTGGGAAACAGGGAGGACCCTAAGAGAGATATGCATGGTAACCCAGAGAAAGGGAACAGGACAGGATCTTCTGAGGGCACTGGGAGCAGAGGGGGTGAGGAAGCTGGGAGAAAGAGAATGGGTGAAGAGGAGGGGAGAGGAGGACATGGGGGAGCAGGAAAGTTGAGTCAGGGGAAGAACAGAGGAGAGCAAGATGAGACAAACCATAATAGAAGGAGCCATTATAGGTTTGAAGAGAGATCTGGCACTAGTGAGATGTCCAGAGGCCTACAAGGATGACACCAACTGGCAATCTAACCAACAGTGGAGAGGCTACCTTAAATGTCCTTCCCTGATAACTTGATAGACAACTTCCTTGTGTGCCATCCTAGAGCCTTCATCTAGTGGCTGAAGGAAGAAAAGGCAGACACCCACAGCTAAACACTGAACTGAACTCCTGGAACCCAGTAAAAGAGAGAGAGGAGTGATGAGCAAAGGGGTTATGACCTGGTGAGTGAAACCCACAGAATCAGTTGACCTGAACAAGGGGGAACTCATAGACCCCAGACTGATGACTAAGAGGCCAGCATGGGACTGATCCAGACCCCCTGAATGCATTCTTTGGGGTCTCAGGCAATAGATCAGCATTTAGCCCTGTCATCCAGATAGACTTTGGGAACCCATTCCATGTGTGGGGATAATGTCTCCACCTGGACACATGGGGGAGGGCCTAGGCCCTGCCACGGATCATATGACAGACTTTCAAGATCCCCCATGAAGGGCCTCACCCTCCTTGGAGAGTGGAGTGGGGGTTGGAGGAAGGGGGAATAGGAGAGGAAGGGAGGAAGAGCCAACTGGGATTGACATGTGAAGCAAACTTGTTTCTAATTTAAATTAAATTTAAAAAAGAGGGAAAAAACACTGAAAAACAAAATGTGTATGCTTACCTGATACAAGCTAGCTAGGTACCAAAATAATGATTTTGGAAAACAAGGGAGGCATGACAAATAAGTCATCTAAGGCAATGTGAGACAAGAAGCAGAAAACCCAGGCCTGTACAATTTGTTTGATATAATACAGTAGAGCAACACTTATTCATTTTTCAAGTGATACTTTATCAATATGTTTCTCTTAATTATATCCTCTAGAAGGTAGGTAATGAATTACTACATTTTAACATCTGTGCATTTTGTTTAATTTGTGTAAGTGGGTGTGTGTATGTGTGTGTGTGTGAGAGTGACAGAGACAGAGGGACACAGACAGACAGAGAGATGGACATGTGTACTTCAGAAAACAACTCATGGAAGTTGCTTTTTCTACTGTGAGGACTCTGGATATTCAGCTCAGATTATCAGGCTTAACAGCAAGGCTCCTTTCCCACTGAATGATCTCACTAGTCCTCATTGCTACATTTGAGGAAGCTTTCTATCCTAAAGAATGAAAATGAAGGAAGGAATAAAGAAGGTAGCTGGTTACGTAGCTAAGACTCTTCCTTCAGGAGAACAGAGCAATCCTGTCTTGGAACTGCTGCCACCTGTGTACATGAAACTTTCCTAACAAAACCAGCTTCTGAGGAGAGAAATCACAATTCTTTCTTTAAAATAAAAAAGATTTCTTTATTTTTCATTTCACCTGCAATGGTGATTTTGCCTGCATGGATGTCTGCATAAGCATAAGGGTGTCGGATCCCCTGGAACTGGAGCTACAGATAGTTGTGAACTGCCATGTTGGTGCTGGGAATTAAACCCAGGTCCCCTGGAAGAGCAGCTGGTGTTCTTAACACTGAATCATTTCTCCAGCCCTGAAACCACATTTCTTAACTCATCATAAATCTTTTCCGTCAACCTCTCTTTAAACTAGAACTGCAACTGGTCATAAGGTAATTGTGTTTGTTCCTACGTGATCAGCAGCAGCTTCCCTACACTTCTGCTAACTTAGTAGCTCAGTGTCTTGGCTTCTGCAATAAGCTTAGAAACCTTTGCTTTCAATCTACTGTATTTGCGGGGGAGGCACTTAGTGTATTCGTGCCAGTTTTGGAAAAATACTCCCTCAAACTGTTGAAGCAGATGCACCCAGGCTTAGGAAGTTTTCTGTAGAACTGTGTTCACTAAGTAGGACATGCCATTTCCTCTTGGGTAACACCCAAGTTTTAAGACTTTTCCCCAGGGTCTGATTTCTGAGGTAATAGATCTCGTCACTATCCCCAGGGTAGATGTCTCAGAAGTAACAGCAGCACAAAAGGCTGTCTTCTGATATCGTCATAACAGATCCTACATGAGGCACCATGGGTTTGTGCCTTGGTGTCATGTAACAATGTGCCTCTCTGGAGTGTTCCCAGGAGTACATCTGTCTTCACTCCCCATCCCTTTCCACCTAGTCAAATATCACCATTTTATAATCTCAGTCTCCGTGAATACTTACTTAGACCATTTTTAATTGCTGTGCTTAAATATCTGAGAGAACTACTTAAAGAGGGGTTTTGGGGTTTTTTGGGGTTTTTTTTTGGTTTTTTTGTGCCTCATGGTTTCAGTAGTTTCTATCCATCATGGAGGGATGGCACAGTACCTCACAGCAGTTCATATCATGGCACCCAGGAGTCAGAGAGAGTGACATACTCACAGTGTGCTCATCTACTCTCTTAGCCATTTCTCTGTCCAAACAAGTTGACAAAATTAAGCATCACAGTGACATGTTGCTTAAAGATTTACCATAGCATTTTAATATTCTTACAGAGTAACTGTATTTGTTATTATTAAGAAATAATCTCCTATAAGGCAGGCATCTGAACAAAAAATGAATAATTTCATTGACATTGTCAAAGTCAAGACAGTAATCAGACTTGGTCAATCAGACTGACTGACATTTGCACATTTCCAAAAGTTTTTATCTAGTGGAGAAATAAGATAATTTAAGGCTATATGTAATGAGAAATAGGCTATAATATAACACAGGGAATGCTAGCAGCTATAGGGAGAACCTTGGGAAGGAAAAATATCAGAAAAGACTTCTTCAAAAAGATAGAAGCTGTTAAGAGACAAAGCTAAGATACAGAAAATGGAGGTCGGGCTGGGCATTGGTGGCACACGCCTTTAATCCCAGCACTCAGGCAAATCTCTGTGAGTTCGAGGTCAGCCTGGTCTACAAAAAAAATGGAGGTCAGTGTTATCTGTAAGGAGGAAGCACTTTATGTAAGAGCAGCCTCGTGATCAACATTAGGAAATTGGATAATAGAGCATAATACAAGATTGGTTTTGCAACAGAGAGAATTGAAGGTAGAATTCCCGGAAGAAATGAGGCCAGAATAGTTAACAAAGGTTGATGATGATGGAAATGCTGAATCATGTATGGAGTCTAATCTTTATTCTTGGGACAGTGAAAATCATTGAAATGTTTTGGCGGAGCATAACAGGAATTTGAGTTAGAGTTTAGAAAGATCATTTTTAAAAATTTTGAAATTATGTTATCCATTCAAAGAGAATATTATGAAGTGATACAAAGTTATTTGAAAGACTTCTACAGTCATTCAGACCAGTTTAGACGACATAATGAAAAACTGTGAAATAATAGCACAAAAAATTGCTTTACAGAGGAATTTCACAGGTATCATTTTAATAGACTGTGGCTATCTCTGTTGGAAACTGGGTTAATTGTTAAATAGTATTAACTAAAATAGAGGTATCAAAAGAGGTGCAGTTTGACGGGACATCAACATTAGCTGGCTCAGAGCAAGCATATCAAGTGTAGGCATGGAACATCTTAGGATTGGAGTTATCCAGGCAGGTAAGACGCATATACACACTCAGAATTCAAGGGGAAGATCTGGGACAGCTTCATGATTTGGGACTCAATAGCAAAAGCAGAATACATGATTATTTAATGGAAGGTATATATTAAGAAAGCTGATACATGTAAATATACCACATTTTCTCTATCCACTCTTCGGGTGAGGGGCATCTAGGTTTCTTCCAAGTTCTGGCTATTACAAATAATGCTGCTATGAACATAGTGGAACAGACATCCTTATTGTATGAATGGGCATCTCTTGGATATATGCCTAAGAGTGGAGTTTCTGGGTCTTCTGTTAGATCTATTCCCATTTTTCTGAGGAGTCTCCATACTGACTTCCAAAGTGGCCAAACAAGTTGGCACTCCCACCAGCAATGGAGGAGTGTTCCCCTTTTACCACATCCTCTCCAGCATAAATTGTTGTTGGTGTTTTTGATTTTAGCCATTTTGACAAGAGTGAGATGGTATCTAAGAGTTGTCTTGATTTGCATTTCCTGGATGGCTAAGGATGTTGAGCACTTTCTTAAGTGCCTTTCAGCCATTTTAGACTCCTCTATTGAAAATTCTCTATTTAGTTCTGCAGCCCACTTTTTAATTGGATCCTTTGGTGTTTTGGAGACTTGCTTCTTGAGTTCTTTGTAAATTTTGGAGATCAACCCTCTGCCAGATGTGGGATTAGTGAATATTTTTTCCCATTCTGTGGGCTGCCTTTTTGTCTTGCTGACCGTGTCCTTTGCCTTACAGAAGCTTCTCAGTTTCAGGAGGTCCCATGTATTAATTGTTGTTGTTCTCACTGTCTGTGCTACTAGTGTTATGTTCAGGAAGCTGTCTCCTGTACCAATTCGTTCAAGGGTACCACCCACTTTCTCTTCTAAGAGGTTCAGTGTGGCTGGATTTATGTTGAGGTCTTTGATCCATTTGGACTTAAGTTTTGTGCATGGAGATAGACATGGATCGATCCACAGTCTTCTACATGCCAGCCTCCAGTTATGCCAGCACCATTTGTTGAAGATGCTTTCTTTATTCCATTGTATATTTTTAGCTTCTTTGTCAGCAGAAAAAAATAATGGAATCCTGAGATTTGCAGGCAAATGGATGACACTAGAAGAAACCATCCTGAGTGAGGTAACCCAGTCACAAAAAAAGAAACATGGCATGTATTCTCTCATATATGGATTTTAGACATAGATCTGGGGAGTGCCAGCCTACAATCCCATGGCCAGAGAGTCTGGGGAACAGAAACTTCATTCAGTGGCTGATGGAAGAAGAGGCAGACTCCCACAGCTAAGCACTGAGCTGAACTCAAGAAAGCCAGTAACAGAGAGGGATAACCAAAGGGATTAAGACTGGGCTGGTTTAACCCCCAGAAACAGCTGACCTGACAAGGGTTAACTTTTGAATCCCAGGCTGATGCCTGGTAATCCAGCATGGGGCTGATCAAGACCCCCTGAATGGGGGTGTCAGTGAGGAGGCCTAGGCAATCTATGGGGCCTTTGGTAGTTGACCAGTATTTATTCCTGGCATACAAATGGACATTGGGTGCCCATCCCACAATGAGAGATGCACTCTCACCCTGGACTCTTGGGGGAGGTTCTAGGCCCTGCCTTGGATGAAATGACAGACTATGGACACCCCCATGGAAGAACTCACCCTCCCTGGTGAAAGGAGGGGGTATTGGGTGGGTGGTGGGAGGGGGCTGGAAGGAGGACAGGGAAAGGGAGAGGGACGTGAGATTGACATGTGAAGAAACTTGTTTCTAATTTGAATTTAAATTTAAAAATAAAATTTTTGATATAAAAAAAGAAAGCTGATACGACCTAAGAAAGAGCCCCTAAAATCCATCATCTTCTACACATTTATTCATTTATGTCATGCTTTACATAAAATTGTTTTGTGGATTGTTAGGCAAGGAAAAAATATAATCTGTATAAAAAACCGAGAGTCAAAGAGGTTCCATACTAAAACACGGTGCTGCTGTTATGTGTGAGAACTGGGCCTAGCTCTGAAGCTCAGCTCAGAAATCTCTACTGTGTCCATTTATCTCTGGTTTACATTACACATACTTATCTACTTATCAGAACCATGGGAAGCAAGAATTTCCTCGATAGGCAATCCCTGTTCTTTTACTTCAGCTGTCCTTAGCTTTCCTAAACTGTCTTGATTTTGACAATGTCAATGAGCCATAACTCTTTGACAATGAATGATATAGACACATATCCTAAATCATACTGTAGTTTACAATAAAAATGTCAATGATATCCTTTAGGATTTAAACAGAGAAGAAGTTTGTTTATAGTCTTTCTAGAAAACAAAAGAGTCCACACTTCTTGCAACAGCCTTGTAGATAAATAATAGAACTGGTTTGACCTCATTCTTATGCCAGTATTTCCAGATAAATCCCTCTTGTTAACCTAAACAGCCTCCAGAGCTGTTGTCAAAGTCTAGAGATCCGTGTCTCTACTCATGTTAATTGTTGCTACTCCATCCACCGCCTCAGTTCAAGCCTTTGCTGACGACAGGTTATTCCCAGATTCTACCTTCCTGCTTGCGACTTGTGACAGAAGTCTCTGAGAAGTTTTGTAACTTCACATTGTTTGCCACAACTAGCAGCTAAACATAATATCAACAAATTCCTTTCCTACAGTATTTCATTTTGTTAAAATATTTTTGTTGCCTTCATAAAGTGACTGTAAATTTTCTCAGGATGATTTATGCAGTTCTCTTGATAACCCCCTGCATAATTCTTAGTTTTATGGGAATCAAGCTTCTTCATAGCACTTAGGTGAAACTTTGTAACTCCATCCATGATAGATTGTCATCCTGTATTATTGATGGTTTAACCACAGACTTTTTACTCCTTTAGAATAAAGACTTATTTTGTATACCTAGATTCTACTCTGCTCCTACCATAAAGCCAGGATAAAATAAATATACAGTGAACAAATGGATGAAAAAAGAAAGACACTTGATTTGCTGTTACTGTTTATCTGCATCCCTTTTCAACCAACAATTCCTAAAGTTCTCAAAGTATTCATATGTAAAAATATGAAGGGAAATACATTAAAGCATTTCATTAATTTATAGCAACATTGAAACCTAATTACATAGCTGTGTACAAGACAATTACATGGAAATATATAAAAAATAACTAATAGAAACCAAATTTTAAAAGTATTTTTGAATCATGCATCAGAGGACTCATTAATTTTAAAAATTATTCCTAAACTAAACATAAGTCAAACAAAAATCTAAACAGATAGTCTATGGAATTTGACAAATTCTAAAATGTTTGATCTTGAAACAAAGATTACCATTCAAACTCAGACCAGAGCTGTGGTTCTTATTCAGTGGTGGAAGGAATTCTAACATTCATGAGACTCTTGGTTTTCACACCAGTAACTTCCAAACAAACTAAATAAATAAATAGAGACTCAGGCCTTATAAGAAAGGTATTCTACAGTGAGATAGCAAATCAAAGACAGGCACATAGACCAGAAGAAACAAGGAAACATATTCAGAGACTGCCCTGTAATTAGAATTATCACCTAACTTGTACCAATTTATACCAAAGGCAACAATATAGTACAGCTAGAAAGATGCTCTTTTGTTGTTGTTGTTGTTGTTGTTTTTCAAGACATGGTTTCTCTGTATTGTTTTGGAGGCTGTCCTGGAACTTGCTCTGTAGACCAGGCTGGCCTCGAACTCACAGAGATCGGCCTACCTCTGCCTCCCGAGTGCTGGGATTAAAGGCATGCACCACCAACACCTGGTGAAAGATACTCTTTTTACATGAATGGTTTTGAGTTAATATCTATACGAAAAATGGTGAGTCGTAGCCCCTTCCCAACCTCAAACAATATATAACATCAGTTTTAATGCTGGGGGAGCTACCTGTGAAAGTAAACCAATAAGACTCTTTAGAAATACAAGTCTTCATGATTACAAGAAAAGATCATTTCAATAAGGTATGAAAGGTAGGCACTTTGGGACTATTAGATGGCTCAGTCAGAAAAGTGCTTGACACCACACCCAACAATCCAGTCTGCTACCCCAGATGTTTGAAAAACAAATAGCCCACAACGTCTAGGAACACTGAGATTTTATAAGTTGTGATAATTTATGCAACAGAATAAATTAAGGCGCGAAGCCATGAGACTGCAGCCAGACACAACAACACAAACAGAGCTCTATGAACATTGCAGGGATGGAGCAGAAGACACCAACTGTGAGAGAGAGTATGCTGCCAGAAGGTACTCAGAGAAGCATCGCCGAAGGGAAGAAAGTTAATTTTGGGTTTTGGAAAGCCACACAACAGGGACCAATAGGAAGTAGAGGGCACAGAGCCCTTTGGGAGGTTGGGAACATGTATATGTCCCTGTGAAAAGCAGTTAAACTGTGTGTCCACCTTCATGCAGTTTGCAGCCTGCACAGCCCAGTCACAAGAATTAAAAGTCCATCAGGGAGTCAAACTCCCAATTCCTGACTTTCGATCTGTTCATTTTACAAGGGCTCTACAATTCTGATCGTGGTTGGTAGTCTTGGACACAGGTGTGCGTTCTTCAGTAATGGAAACCAGTAATTCATATCACTAAAGACCTAAAACTTTTGTTGTTGACAAGACATCTCCGGGGGTGGTTTCTCCTGAGATGCCCCACCCCTCTTTGTTTCTCAGAACCGTTTTAATCTATCTCCTCCCTTTACACAGGAAGGGTTTTCCACAGTCAGTGTTTTCTTCCATGAAGCTCAGAGCCACCAAGTTTTTGTCATTCACAAGAAGCCCTGCGTGCTCCCAGAACTGAAGTTTCCCAGGCTGAGTCACCCTGGGAATGTTCCAAAGCTAGTGGCTTTAAAGTTCTCATAAACCACATAAACTCCAAGTCTTCAGGCAAAACCAGACTCCTGTGTCTGATAGGACACAGCGCCCATGTTGCCTCTTCTCACTTTTAGTCTGACTTTCCATTCAAATCTTTCTAGTACCTTCCCCACTGCCTAATAATTTTCATTTTGATTGAACCAGTTTTCATTTGTGAGTCTTTGAAACACATTTCTCACACTCCAAAGAAACTTCATGTCCATAGATATTCTGTTTATTCATTTTTTTTTATTTGCCTGTTTGTCTTTTTTAAGATGGGTAGGTCAGTGGGGAGGATTAGGGAGGAGATGAGAGTGGAGAAAACATAATCAGAATATATTGTATAAAAGTAAGTGATACTCAATAAGAAAAGACTAAGTCCTACAGTACTAAAGTCAAGTTTCAATGTTCTCATTGATCATCAGTGTTACAATTTTTGATGCAAACAATGATGACTTGGTTTTAACTAAATATAATGAAGGTTCTTGCTCTGTGAAGAACTGTGTATCTGTCAAACTTTTCCTTACATGCTATTGTACTTTCCCTTTGCCAGTTTGGAAGAAAAATTTGAGCCTCAGAATCAGCTGTGAGTTTACTTGTTTACATTTTTTGTTTCTTTGCTACACCTTTTAAAAATTTAATTTCACTTTTAAAGTTTTAGTTTTGTGATCATAATTACATTTCTCTCTTGTTTTTCCTCGCTCTAAACCCTCCTGTGTACCCCTTGCCCTCCTCATTTCAACCCATGACCTCTTGAGACCTCCAGCTGTCCACAGACACAGCCGCCTTGCTCAGAGATGGCAATCACACCTGACAGAGCCTGCTGGTACAAGCCGTTCACCTACTGCTTGGGGTGGAAGCAAAAGAATCGGAACTTGAAGATCATTCTTCTTGGTGAGTTTGAAGCCTGAGAGACTTGAAATCTGTCTCATAAAATAAACAGACAAAGCTCATGGACTAGCTATGTATAGAGAGAGTTGGGGGTGTCTGGCTAAGTTTGTAAGATCCTGTATTAAAAAAAGAAAGAAAAAAGCACTCGGGAGGCAGAGGCAGTCGGGTCTCTGTGAGTTTAAAGCTACCGTGGTCTAGAAGAGCGAGTTCCAGGATAGCCAGGGCTACACAGAGAAACCCTGTCTCGAAAAACAAAACAAACAAAATAAAACAAAACAAAAAACCAAGGGATACGGGCCAGTGTTAGGAAACTCACCTCATGTTTTCAAGGCGCAAGGATCAATCCCCAGCTTGACAAAACACACACACACACACACAAACACACACACACACACACACACACACACATGCACACACACAAACACACACACACATGCACACACACAAACACACACACACACACAAACACACACACACAAACACACACACACATGCACACACACACACGCACACACACACACAAAACCTTTTTTTTTTCCTCTCAGGGTGTGAGCATACAGTTTCCTAGTCTTTTCTCTCAAAGTGGCTGATCACATTGATCAAAGAAAAATGTGAATTCTCATCCTTCCCTCCATCCTTTCCTTCTTGTCTTCATTTTTCTCCCTTTTCCCTCACAGTTTTTCACTTAACCTTTAGAAAACCAAATATCTAACACTTTAGAAAAAAATCTAAATATATGATAGTATTTTATGAATTCTATTAAAACCACAGAAGCAGACCTTGGAAGCACAGAGCAAATGAATAGTTACTCATCTGTGAAAAGTAAATACTTTCCAATGTTTTTTAAGGACAAGATAATTAAAATGTAGCAGGACCAAGTCTGAATAAAGTTTGGCCATCTAGAACTACAATCTATGGACTTTGCTTCTTGGTTTTAAAATGAAATCTAACTCAATTCCCAATTTCAGCTCTTGAGCTAGTCTTCTTGTTTTCAGTCCCATTTTTTATTAAAGATCTCTACTCTCTCACTGCTACAATCATCCTGGATGAAATTCCACCTTGACTCCCCTTTTCGCTTGCAATTTATATCATCAGATATTCATTCCTCCTGTGAAAGAACCATGAGGAGCTTACCACCTTGGCCCGCAGATGTTAAGAAACAGTAACATTGATAAATATGTACCCAACCCCCAAAAGTGATTTAGCTACCAATAATTCACTTTGAAAAGGAAATTTGAAAACTTGCACATTTTTCACCAAAACCAGTAAAATTGGAGCAAATCCAAATAAGGAAGTTAAAGAGACAGATGCTGAAAAGTATAAGATACTGATGAGAGAGATTAAAGCAAACATACAGAAATAAAGTTCCTGTGTTCAAATCCTGAAGTATTACTGTTACTGTTATCGCAAAAACCCCAAGCAACCTGCTAATTCAGTACAATCCCTGTCAAAATGGATACATTTTACATAAACAGAACAGCACTGCTAAAATTCTCAAGCAGACACAGAAGACCACAGATAGACAAGGTAATCTTGAGCAAGGCAAAGGTGGAGGATCACTTTCCCTCTTTTAATATGTATGAGAAGGTGTTCTCCTGGCATAAAAGCACACAGGCAAATGGAATAGAATAAAGAGCTCAGAGCTTCACACCTGATATCAGCTGAACCCCCTCAAGGATGCCAAAGTACACAGTGGGGGGGGGGGAGTCGCGTCAATAACTGATGTTGGCAAAACTGGATATGGTAATGGAAAAGAATGAAATCATACCATGCTCTCTCAATGTTCACTCAAAATGGTGTAAGGTTTGATTGTAGGATCTGAACCTAATAAGCTCCTAAAGAAAATGTACAAGAAAATCCTCCTTCATAATGGTTCTTTGGTGATGGTCTCTTTGACATACTAACAGAAGCGTGTGAAGCAAAACGAGGTTAGCAGTTTCTATCAAACTCTAACAGCATCAACAAAAGCCTTTTTGCAAAGCAACAGGGATAATTAACAGAACGGCAAGAAACCCTAGAGGGCAGAAGAAAATATTTGCAATGATGGGAGATGTCCTTCTGTATATTTGTTTGTCTTATTGGTTGATGAGTAAAGCTCTGCTTGGCTAGTGGCCAGGCAAGAAGGATAGTCAGGGCTACCAGACAGGAGAACTCTGGGAAGTGTAGGTAGAAAGGAGTCATCATGTGAGTCTGGGAAGAGAAGAGGCATTCTCCGGTAAGATACGACACGTAAGAAATACATAGATTAATAGTAATGGGCCCAGGGTGGCGGGACCCTGCTTAACATTGTGGTTCCCACATCTGATAAAGACTTAATGTCCAAAATCATAGGGGATATCTAAAATACAGTGACAAGTCCATCAACGCTTGTCCCCTCGCCATGCATCACTGGGGTCTGCTCAGCCAATCATGTGGCTACAGAGCAGTCACAGCCCCGCAGCTGACTTATGCTTACAGTCGGTCTCCCTCTTTCAATAGGAAAATGTCATCAGGGTACTGGGCTTTGCTAGAATCTTTGGTATTTGTGTCTAATATTTAACATTCTTCATTTTCCCATAGGTCTGGAATTTAAACTTCTTGCAATATAACCATCTAGTTTATCTCTAAATCTGCATATATAAAATATATCTTTGTTCTAGCGTTGATGATGGAAAAATACAACCATAAAAGGAAATATTCTTTTTGAAGCTTCCTCAATAAGCACGTGTACTTTTTCCTTTCTTTTAACATTGTTTTTTATATTACTTAGCAATTAAATTTTAACATTTCTCAAAACTCATTAGAAAATTGAAATTTTCATCAGTTCCCAAAAAGTTCTGGAAATCCATGTTTATACACAGCTTGGAAAAACAAAGATGAATATTAGCAAGACATTCCAATCAATCTTGCACAGGTCAAAAACCCCACTTTTTTTTCTAACATCATGTCCCTTATTTATTTACAGCCCCAGATAAGTGCCAGCTTCTGGTGTTGGAAGAATGCAGCTGACCTCATAGACACATTTCTGTGCGGGCAGTTATACTTTGAAGATGATAAAAAGTCCAGAGAAAATACCTCCCCTCTGTGATAGCAAGAGGCACTTTATGTACAAAAGGCAATGGTTTGGAACAGAGTCAGGCTCTAGAAAGCAAGACTGTAGTTTCTCATCATAAACACATTATTCCTGTTTAATCGAATGAGAATAGCGGAGATGGGGGAGGCTTTGAAAGTGAAATACATGTTCCTCATGACTTCCCTTGTGAACAGAGGCCTCAGATCAGCCTGCAGTGGACATCTGAAAGATTCATGTTGCCCCAGTGTGATGAATAATGGAACACAATGCATAATTGTCAGCAAGTTCTTAGAACCTTCTCAGACCCCAGCTACCATGCAGAATGCATTACCTCAGGCTCCGCAGGGTCACGAGGGAGGTAACCAAGTGTCGGGACAAGTAAATAGAGAGTATTGTCCCAAACCCCTGTCGTTATGGCAACCCTCTAGAAATGCCGGGATTTCATCTTCGCGTCTGCTTTCCCTGATCTGTGGGGAAAGAACAAATGGCCTCTGCAAACAGAAACCCTGGTTAGCTTCTAACTTTACAGTCCCACTGTAGACCTGTACACAGTCGACTGTTTTTGTTTCTTTTTTTGGTGTGTCTATAGCAAATATCATCGACTATTCTTGTGATATGAAAAGTACTTAATGATAGTTAACCTTTTGCAAAATGCAGTAACAGCACAGGAAATCTAATTAGATTACGTTTGTATTATAACTGATAGACATTTTAGTATCACATGGATGAATCAAACTCTCTCACTTCATGGACCAGTGAAAATTCTCTTCACAGTCTGAAGAACTCACAAGGATGACGGACCTCTGTCTGATGGAGAGAGATGGAAAACAGAATCCTGCTGTCCCCGACAGTGTATGCAGATTCCAGAGGGATGGGAGACTTAGGAAAAATTAGTGTGACTTCCTCTATGGCCCAACTTCTTGTTAAGGGAAAGTATTCAATTGTGTCCATGTATTAACTCAGGGGAAGAAGACATAGGGCTGTCTGACTCTCCAATAACCAGATAACCATGTTAGCTAATTCCTACACAACCTTCTCATCCCTCCTTACTGTATAGCATGCATTTCTATTTTCTTCCTTGAACTTAGTAAAACGTATTCTTTTTTGTTTCTTATTTTATAACTCTACCATTAAACATAAATTTTTAATTCAGAAAAGTGTGTTTGTTTTGTGTAACTTTCTTTTTCCTAAGACCCTGGACTGACACACACAAAAAAAAATTTACTGAGTATCTACTGAATAAATGAGTTAATGAATGACTCTTTCAAATCTTTTTCCTCAACCACAATTTGAAGGAAATACTATTTATTGTATAACATTTTCTTAATAATCTGAAACATTTTATGAAGTAAACATACAATTAAAATGATCTGTTGTAGTTGGACAGTGGTGAAGCCCATTATTCCCAGCACTAGGGAAGCAGAGGCAGGTGGATCTCTGTGAGTTCAAGCCAGTCTGGTCTATGCAGTGAGTTCTGAGTTAGACAAGGCTACATATGGAAACCCTATCTCTAATACCTACCCCTCAAAAGGGCTGCTGTAAAAAGTTACTCAGTATCAAGATGATCTTATCTCAGAGAAAGTATAAACTCAAGAAGAAAAATATTCTTTTATAAAATAAATCGTGTTAGTTAAATGAAGTGTGTGTGTGTGTGTGTGTAGATCACAGACCCCTCCTGGCAGCACGTATCTAAACTCACTTAGTCTTATGGCCAGTCCAAGGGCATAGATATACTTAGTATTGCTTAATATAACAGGGTTGTCACATATAGACTCTAACATTTAAAAACAAAGATGGGGTCTGAAGATGTACAAGTTGGGCTTGGGGTAGGTAGAGGGACAGAGAGGGAGGCAGTGAGAGTTTTATCGTTTTACATATTAGAGAAGTTTTTTTAGTTTAGATACAATTCTTCATGAGTTCAGAAATGGGCTTGAACTGTTCGTGGCACACTGTCCTTCTGTTTCACATTCATCTAAAACAAACAAGCAAAACCACATTGGGTGCCTATGCTGTTAGAAAATCCTAAGGAGAAACGCCGGGTGAGGCAGACAGGGCCATCAGAGGGGCACGGTGAGGGAGGAGGCGCAGAAGCAGCTCACCCAGAAGGTGACCTAACTCAGGCTGCAGTCTCACAGTTACTTAGACCAACTGCTTCAGGGACCCGATACCTTTGTCTGGCCTCCACAGGCACCTGGACTTGAAAATGTGATTTAAAAGGACGAATAAAACTTTCAGCAAATTTTTCTTCTTCCAAATTAATAGAGATCAGCAAACAATATCGTGGATAATTTCCACTTATTAAAACTCTTACAAAAACTTTGTAGTCAAGGAAAACCTTAAAACACAAACTAGGATTTTTTAAGTTGAACTTGTTAGTACATAGACTATTTAGAAGATTACATAAGAATCTTGAATAAGATATATCATCTGAAAAATTTTTTGCTGCCCCTTTGGGAATTCAAACTATTTTGGTTGCATATTCTATTCCAATATGCATTTTGCTATTTTGCTGGTTGATAGAAAACTGCACAAATGTCACACTTTCAGCTACATGTTCTCAGAAGAAAGCACAAATATGAGAGTATGAAATATAATTTCACTGTTGAAACAACCCTGGCCAGATCCCTGCTTATCTATGTTGAAAGACCATTTGCGTAAAAGACGTTCCAAATTTTATTTTTAGGAGGCTATGAGAAAAACATCCAAACAGACACGCATGAGACATTTCTTCCACATTTGTATTTAAAATTAGCACTCAATTGCTTGTGATTTTGATTCTGTTGAAAAATCCTTCTTGGAATCAGTCAAATTTGCTACTGTAAAACCTAGTTCAGACCAACTCAACTTCATTCATTAGACACTATGTATTAATTGCTACTATAGTCAGAGTAGGAGGAGCTCATACTGTAGTAGAAAAGAAATCTGTGTAGCTGGTAGTGGGATGGAATGGTGTGCCAACTACATAAGAAGGAATTCCTGGGGAACATGGCCTGAGTCACCTTGCAGAGTTGCCATGGGGTCATGCACATCTGTATTAGTTATTTTTATGATCTGTGACCAAGCACCTGGCAAGAAGCATGGAAGACTGTATCTTGCCTCATGGCTTGAGGTATAAAGTTCATCATGGCAATTATGGTACGGTGGCAGGCGGTCCCAAGCACTGAGATCAGTAAGCAACTTCCTCAGATCTCAATAGACAAGGAAACTGTGATTTGGGTTAGAATAGGGCTGGCTATATATAGCCCATGCAACCTACTCCCAGCAATCCCCTTACTTCAACAAGGCCTCGAATTTTGAAAAGCAGCGCCTCCAACTGGGGCTTGTTCTAACATTCAAACCAGGAAGACATCCTACACAGCATTCCACTTCCATAAGTTCAGGTCCAGCAGGATGAAGACAACTGTGGTATCTTAGCGACACACTTGAGTGTGTACCTTCACAATCCGTGACAGTCTTTGTCCACAGCAGTCATCTGAGGTTGACGGATTGCTCAGAATACCATCAGGTCTGGGTTTGATACAAAGCAAAAGTTCTAAGTTCCGGCTGTACTCACAAAGATACTAGGACGGTTTTTAAGCTACTGATGCCAACTTTCCAACCCCACTTGTAAAAACTATAAAATTTCAGGCTTAATTGTACCAAAATAATTTGTTCTACTCTTGGCTAGCCATAGGAATTGTGATGAATTTTAGAAGAAATCTTAGAATCATTCATGTTGTCTAGACTCGGTTGTTTTATTATGTGTATGAGTGTTCTGCTTGCACATATTTCCGTGTACAATGTACACATACCAGGGGCCCTTGAAAGTCAGAAGAGAGAAGTGGACACCCTGAAACTTGAGTTTGGGGGGTCAGAAGAGGGTTTCAAATCCTCTAGAGCTGTACTTGTGGATGGTTATGAACCACCATATGAATGCTGGAAATAAAACCCCAGTCTCCTGCAAGAACAAGAGCTCTTAACCTCTGAGCCATCTTCCCCAGCTCCATGAATTGTGGGAATTTTAAAAGATGCATATATCTTCTCTCTAACCCTCAGACAACTGATTATGGATGTGCATATGTGAACACATCACGCCATTCTAGCTCCTAAAATTCCAACACACATGCACACACACATGCACACACACACTAATTCAGATACATTAGTCCATATTATACTATTTACCATTGGCCCAAATATTAAACATCATTTTAGTAAAAGAAACTACCTGCTTTGTTTTTCTTTGCTCTCCTCTGTATTTACAAAGATTTATAACGATTTCTCAGAATTTATAAAGATTATAGCAGCACGGATTATAATATGGTAAAACCATGGAATACATGTATTTATAACATCTCATTTGATTACTTTTGTGAAACAAATACTCCACTGACTATGTGTTATATTTGTGATGAATGTGTTGTGGTTTGAGGCTTTCAGAATTCCTCAAATTTAAAGATGATGCTAAAATATGTGATTTCATTCGTAAATATGTAATAAGCATGAAAGAACAACCAAAAAGCCTCCTGAAAGGGTTCCCATGGCTAGTCATCAATAGTTCCTTATGGGTAAATAAATAGCATCTTTTGATAATTTTATGTGATTTACAGATTTTCTCATAATTGCTTCTGGAATATTAAGTGCTAGGAGCTTTAAGAGAAACTTGTCCTTATAGAATTTTGATGACAAAGATAAATGATAGATGTTTTTGAACTTGATTTTAGGAACAAATTAAATTGTGAAACATAAATTGTGCCAATAAATACAATGGTTTTCTTATTTATATTCTATTATATTACATATCTACATTGCTTGTCAAAAACAAAAGCCCATGGGGACATCTTTCCTCCTAAAAAGTATAGTTTTCTTGGCTCTGTCAGAGAGATACTTAGGAAGTCATAAGACAAAGTTCTAATGAATTGGACAGTGACTCAGGATTTCCATATAATAACAAACATCCTCAAAGAAACATACATATTAGTCACTCTGAAGTGATTGAATTTATCGTTCAATGACTCATCCGTGGTACATTTTCATAACCAAATCGGCATGAACCAGCAAAAGACTACTCATCCAAATCACAAACACACTGTGGTAAGTAGAGTAACAAGCTTCCCAAAGATACTCGTGTCCTACGCCCTGTAACTGTTAATACATTAGCTTACAAAGCATCTTAGTTATTTCTCTACAGCTGTGAAAAAACACTATGACTAAGGAAACGTGGTGTTTAATTCATTGTTGCAGAGGATTAGAGTTTATGGGCAAGGCAGCAGACAGGTAGTCATGGTGTAGTAGCAGAAGCTGAGAGCTTACATCTTCATCCACACCATAAGACAGAGAAAGGCAGAGATGGGAATGGCCCCATCTCTTTTGAAACCTCAAAACTGCCCCCCCTTAGCGAACCGCTGGTGTGTTCGCTGCTATGGCGCTACCATACTTCACAACTATCCGAGGCTAAGGGCTAAGGATGAAAAATGAGGACAAAGACAGCAGCTCATTCTTACAAGGAGAATGGCATTTATTATTACAAGGGTGAAGCCTTAAATACTTTCAAAGTTAGGTGTGGTGGAAAAATCACCAGAGTCAGAAACCTACATTCCCAGGGCCCTCCGT